TATATATATATATATATATGGAAGGGTTCAAACGAAAACACCTTCATTTTACGAGAACGCAAGAACACCATTTTACTATAGATAATCACATATGATACTAAATCAGAGACGAGGGCAATTTTTGATGCGATCTTGGTTACGGGCCAAGTCGTCCTTAGACCATTAATCCCCTCACAAGTATTATCACATGTGATAAGGGTGTTGTTGATGTGATATTATAATCCATCAAGACCATCACATGTGATGCTAAACCATAGACGCAGACAACCTTTGGCGCGACCTAAGTCATAGAACATGTCGTCCGCACATCACAGGGTCCCCTCACGCATATTATCACATGTGATAAAGGTGTTTTCGCGTTCTCATGAAATAGAGGTGTTCTCGTTTGAACCTCCACCTATATATATATATATATATATATATATATAGAGAGAGAGAGAGAGAGAGAGAGAGATAGAGAGAGAGATGAAGGATCGTGTGAGAAATTTAGAAGTGAATTGAACCGGTGCATCTCACTAGTGTTGATATATATATATATATATTTGTTATCTTATTTTGCAATGTAATTCAAAAGTTTTAGGTGTAACAGACTCTGGAAAAAGATTAAAACATCCCTGTATATAACTGCATCAATAGGGCCGATATTATTTCGCCTATAACAATTCGTATATTTTTAAACCATTCTTACGAAAAATCTGAGTTTGAAAATTCATAATCATAAAAAAAAAAGATTCATTTATTTAAAAATGTCAATTATATTCCTATAAATAACAAGGAGAAGACAAATAAAATAAAATAGAAATGGAAATAAAAAAAAAACAGGTTTTGAATCAAAGAGAATAATGAAATGAAGACCACTAGTTGATAAAGTCAAAGAGGCACATAAAACCTCACTCATTTGCTCACCAAAACCTATTAGTGATGAAATTAGTGTAGCAGATTAGGTCAATTAGGGCATAAAAAAAAAGTGCACACCACCTTACCCACCACAAAAAATATCATCTAATTTTTAATTTTTTATTATTTAAGGGGTGTTTGGTTCAGTTAGAGGAATGAAAATAGAATGAATTTCTATTCCTTCCAGTTTAATCTGGATTTATGGGGGAATGAACCCATTGTATTATATAAAATCAAACAGTTTTTTATTTATTTTCATTCTTATTAATTACTGTCTAATACCTCTAACCAAACACCATCTGATAGCTTGAATCATTATCTTAAAAACAACATATTGAAACATAGAAAATCCCAAGACAAACAGTGATGAATGTTTTATTCTCTTTTGTGGCGATATAATCAATGCTTAACTTGATTATAATTTGACACGGTCGGATGCCGACTTCTGAAGACAAGTGGGTGCTGAAAGGATCGAGATGGATTAGCCACGAATAATATCTACGTCGAAGGTAAATTGGTGTTGTCGTAGCTACTTTTAGAAATAATGTGGTATAAAGGTTAGATTTAATGAAGCTTTAATAAAGACTAGAGATCGAGGGATCTTAGAATTGATTATTTGATATGATTTTCTTTTTTATTCTTGTAATATGGTCAAAGGGGTTTAAAATAATTTTTGGAATATTCGTGTTTACGCTAATAAGAATATATTTTTGATTACTAATTAATTACAAATTGTTACACACAAAAACAAATGTTATTACTGATTTTCTTGTGAATCGATCGAGCTCGTTAACACAAAAACGTAAACATATGTTTTGTTATAAAAAAAGACGTCTTTTTATGATTTAGACTTTCAAATTTCACGAGTTTCTTATCCGGTCAATTAATTAAAATAGCGGAAAATGGTACCATTTTACACACATGGCAGCTTCTTATAGGTCGGTAAATCCTAAGAAAATTACTTTTTCAAGTCATTAAATTCGATGATAATAATAATTGCCATCAATTTTTATGAAAGTGGGATATCTTTAGATTATATATTATATATATTATTTAAAAATATTTATTGGAGAAATAATTAAATTTAGATGTTGCATGTGACGATGGAAATGACGTTTAACTACAATGTGTTTTTAATTAAGAAAATAAGGATTAATTAATAATAATAAGACAAAGATTAAAGTTAATGACTAACTAATGCTAAGCCTGGCTTTATGAGATCAGACCAACAACTGGTAACAGTTGAATGTTATAAAGTCATTAATTAATTCCAATAAGGTCATTAAGCCATGAACAAGATCTTGAATTCATGTGATCATGATAGAATACATTCAAGTTCTGTGGAAAAAACCAGAACTTTTTCGTGTGTATATATATATATATATATATATATATATATATATATAATGGAATTAAGGTGGAAGAAAACCTGCTCATCAAGGATTGAAAGGAGTGAATGCAACCACAGAATTGTGCCCACCGAACCCGAAGGAGTTGGAGATGGCTGCACCAAAACAAGTACGAAATACATCAAACTAAACGGCTCCAATAAATCTTAATCGAATTAGGGTAAGGAGGATGAAATGTAGCCGATTTGACATCTACTTCTAAAGAGTAGAGCAATTGTTTTCGCGTTTATACATCCCAATGGACGAGAAAGATTTAAATAAATACGAAAATGATCACATACCCACATTGACTTCATGGCGTTTCTTCACATTTGGGACGGTATCGATATCAACTTGAGGCTCCAAGTTCTACAAAAATGGTTCAAAATCAATTAATCCATGAAAATAGCAAATTAATTAAGGAATGAATTAGTGTAGTAGATTAGATAGGTACATCTTGATTAATGGTGGGGTGTAGCCAGCCAGTGGTGATTGCTTTTATGCATACAATGGCTTCCAATCCACCAGCAGCTCCAAGACCATGTCCGATCATCGACTAATGCACCATAAACATTTCATTAATTATTAGCTATATATATATATATGTATGTATATCGTTATATTTGCATGCATGCATTTGAGTTAATCGTGGGTTTCTTGCCTTGGTTCCATTCATCTTCATTTCAGATGTATTCTTGAAGATTTTCTTAATGGCATTAAGCTCAGCCAAATCTCCAGCTAGGGTTGAGGTTGCATGACAATTCACATAGTTCACCTTCAATGTTTATAATGGACATATACTTCATTAGAAACTAATTAAAACGAACCGTTTATATAGGGTTGGGTTTCGATGAGAAAGAAAGTTATGTTGAGAAGTGTAAGAAGATAACTCCATTTTTGGATCAATCCTAATTGAATGTCAACACTAATGACGTGCACCTAGATGCACTAGATCAATTCCCTTCTAAACCACAATTCATTGGTGAGAATGAGATTAAAGTGATCAAGGTTCAGATTTTTTCTTACAATTCTCATTATAACTTGTTTTCTCTCACGATCCTTCGCTCGCTTATATATATATATATATATATATATATATATATATATATATGGTTGGGTTCACGTGAGACCAAAGGTTTTTTGTGAGACCCGTAAGACCAATTTATGTTCATTGATCAACTTTATAAGCTAATGATCTAATGGTCTAAAGTTGCACGGTGACAATTTTGTGATTATTGAGAAGTCTCGTGGCGTTTATAAATGTTCAGATTGTCAGATCTAATCCAAGGGTTGAGAATTGGTCTTACGGGTGTCACGAAAAACTCTTGGTCTCGCATGATCCCAAGTTTATATATATATATATATATGTGTGTGTGTGTGTGTGTGTGTGTGTGTATAGAGAGAGAGGGGGGGGGGAGAGAGAAAGATTTCGGATCAAGTGCCTTCGCAACATTTTTTGATGGTTAGTTGTTTTTTTGTACCTTCACAATATTTATTGTGAAGTTTTAGTGTAATTTTGTGTTCTCACAGGTCTCAAGAAAACAAACTAGTCTCACGTCAACCTAACCCTATATTAATCATTTCAGAACTCCAAAATTTGTGAGATCAATGAGAAATTCTACCTTAATGTTTTATTTCATATGATTTTTTTAACTTAAAGTCTTAAATATACATTTAATGTATTGATTAATATATATTTGGTTCACAAACACTCCAAAAAAGGTTCATATTGTGAAGAGTATATGTAAAACCAACACATTGTGAAACAAATATATGCTAATCACTAAATTAAATTCTAGCCATAGATGACAAAAATCATATGAAATAGCACATGATGCACTGGTTCTCAAAGATCTCATGATTTAGAGAGTTTTCAAACGAAAGTTCCCATGGGTAATTAAGTTGTAATACCTCTTCGGGAGAAACACCGGCATCTTCTAAACATTTGGCAATGCATGACGAAACTCCAAGACCATCTTTGCGAGGGTCCGTCATGTGGTGAGCATCGCAGGTTATGGCTCCTCCCAAGTATTCCGCGATAATATTGGCTCCTCTTTTACTTGCATGCTCCAAGCTTTCCATAATCTGTACACTTTCTTTCAAGTTACATACAATTCATGTCACACAAAACAAGTTAAATGGGAATATTGCCCTGACATCTAAGCGGCCGTTTACCAAACACTTACAGGGTAAAATTTAACACTATCATTTACTTACCTGGTAAGATTTTAGTCCACAAAAATGGCATAGTATGCAACAATCTACCTGGTAAACACTTACTATGGTAAGAGTCATCGCCCTCATTTACCAGGTAAGACTTTTGCTCTTACAAGGTAAGATTCTTGATCCTTACCATATTCATCCGATAAGGTAATACGATTTGGTAAACACTTACCCGGGTAAGCGTTTGGTAAACAGCCCCTAAGACTATGTTTGGTAAATCAAAACTAATTATTAGCTAATAAAATATATGATAAACTAGTATTATTTAGTAAAAATTAGCTAATGACTTACGTAACAATGTAAAATGACTTAAAAAGACAGTAAAAAATTAATTGAAAAAAATACAAGGGGAATTCTTCGAAAAATAAGCCTCTAAAAAAATAGCATTTCAATCCCAACCGATTTCCACATAATTGGGTTGGACTCGGCTAAGTGCCGGACCAAGAGTTGGCTTGGGCTTCGACTTTCATAGCCCACCCGATTTCCACATAAGCCTGTTGGGCCTCACTACGAGTCCAACGGTCTAACTCTGGATTTCTGGAGCATCCATTCCACATTCCCGTTCCACAACGGTAAAGAATGATAAAATTATGAGTAAACTACAAATTAGTGGGCATTCAGGCGAGCCGTCCGGTGGTGTGTCTAACGAAATCAAATTCTCTCTCGATAAATTATTAACGGAATTGGGGTTAAAAGAATGCATAGAAATGAAGTTATATACCAGTACTCCAGCACCTTCTCCGATAACAAAACCATCGCGATCTTGGTCCCATGGTCTAGAAGCCTTATGTGGCTCGTGGTTTCTTTGAGACAAAGCTCGACAGGCTATGAACCCACCAACACCCGTAGGATTAACAGCAGCTTCGGTTCCACCCACCACCATGATATCTGCTTCTCCTCTTCTAATATGGTTTGCAGCTGCATAAAAGCAATAGTTTGCAGTTGCACAAGCGGTTGAAATCGAGTAATTTGGCCCCATTAATCCTGTATCTATCGCCAACAATGCCGATCCCATGTTCGTGATCGAGTAAGGAATGAAAAATGGAGTAATTTTCTTGAATCCCTTCTGAATCAGTGCTTCCACACCATTGCTGAAACTCGTCATCCCTCCTATGCCTGATCCCACAACAACTCCCATCCTCGTTCGATCCATCTGTTTGTATATATACCAAGATTACCATCATCAATCGCGAGCAGTTGCACTTTGAGGTCGATCAATGGTCCAAAAAGTCGTAGTTTAACTCGAGAAAAGTCAACACACTTTGACCAAGTAAATTAAAAAATTAAGCAGGTGCACAGTTACGACAAGTAATTTTTTTTTGTTACAACCGGACGATCGATTGGGGGAGTGCACCCCTACTTTGTTAGTAACTCCCCCCTGATCATCATGCTTAATGAATCTTGAAATGGGTAGAACCAGGGGTGTAAACGAGCCGAGTCGAGTCATAATTTATTCGAGTCGCGCTCAAAAAAAAAATGTTAGGCCCGAGCTCGAATAACTTTTCAATATAGGGCTCGAGTTCGAGCTCGAATATTTTTTGAATTTTCAACTCGAGCTCGATCCTCGTTTATGGGCTCGAACTGACGATCGATTAACTCGTTTATAGTCACGAGAGTGATAATTTTCATATTTTTATTATATGATTTATGAAGATAGGAGCATGTTCGGCTCAACAAAATGTTTGATCGAATGACTCGGCTCGACTCGACTCAAAAAAGTCTAATGGCCGATGCTACTGGAAGAATTCCTCTTTGGGAGTTTTCGTACAAGCCAACATTGGTTTTATGAAGTTCTGCTTTAATCAAGTTTTATTTTGTGTTCGAGATCGATTCGAGCTCGAGAGATATGAGCTCGAGCTCGAGTAGCTTGGTAAAAGCCGGACTCGTTTACACCCTAGGGAGAAGAATAATTGAAAGACTCACAGTTTCAAGAATTTGTTGGCCAAGGTTGGCATGAAGAAGGGCTTTTTTGCCGGCGACCAAACAAAACCTCCAGCAGTCATCAAGACGACGATCATTTTTCCGGTCGATGTAGCCGACCGATGAGAAGTTGTGAATCTGACCGGCGAAACGAACAGTGAAGGTGGAAGCATCGAATTTGTCTATTAGAGTGATTCCACTTTCACCCTCTAGAAGTTTGTCGTAGAATGTGTCAACATCGTTGCCAAAAACAGAAACAACTCCCATTCCAGTGATCACAACCCTCTTCTTTGGGTCTGTTTCTCGTTTGGGAGCTGAAATGGCCTTGATTGCTTTAGATTTTGAAGCTGAGAATATATATGCAAGAAAGTTGAAGATATGAGAATCGAGTGAAACAACAGAAATGATGAGAAATTGAATGGATAATAAGAGGTATTTCTTCAAAGATGATCACACCTGAAGTAGAAATCGACCCACTTGGTTTGAAGGTAGTTTCTATGGCTCTAAGACCATTGTATTGATGCATTGAAACTCCATTGTTTTCTGAATCTTTTCTTCTAAAGATCAAACCAAAAGAACATGTGGCTGTAATGCTTGTCATTTCTCTTTAGTCTTCTCTTTCTTTTATTCTTGATCGACCGCAGAAACGAAGTTAACCAACTGTTGGGGGAAGTCTGCCCTCCACCTGTTTGATGAAAAGCGTGAATGACGAAACGGAGTATGATTCTGAAATGTTGGTTTATGGTGGTGTCATGGAGATTGAATCTTGTAGTTCACCAAAGACAAGGAAAGAGTTTAGAAAACCAGAAAAGATTTGTGCGTTTTCCATGAAAGCATGTTCGGAAGAAGAGGACTGACTGAAATGAACCAGGTTGCATCCAGTGTTTGGGTAGCGTCGTGGCGAGGTAGTTGATGACCCATTTTTGCATGTTCATTAGTCTTGTTCTTGTATCGTGACTCCTAAAATTCCAAAAGTGTGTGTAATTTCCAATTACATGTAAATTTATACAAAATTATTTGTTTTTCATAAATCTATATAAACATCAAACACAATATATAAGAAACAATAATATGAATATTTTTAATAAAATAATCATTGGTCGGTCGGTTGGTTACTTCTTTACTTTTTACATATGAGTTCCTGTATTTAAGCATTTTATTGCAATTCTTTTTAAAAAAGTTATAAATCTGAAATTAGAAGTTACAAACTAAGCAAATAACACAATCAAGTTTCAAACCTACACCTGAGCTGGGATGAAAGAAAGCCTTACTAACCAACTTTACCGTAAGAAACTTATGTTTTATTGTAGTTTCAAGATATATACGGTTGTACTCAAATAAAAGATACAATGACGTCTTTTAAAAACAATTTTTTCTACACTATAACGGAGGAAGGAAACGGTAGTCGGTCCGTGCCACCATATCCACTAGTGTGGATCCGCCATTGGTCAAAACCCAGATACTACAACACCAAATAGTTGCAATTTTTTTGTTGAAAGAATAAAGCAAGCGAAATATGTTAATTGAAAATGTAATAATTTTTACGTCAACTGATGTGGGTATTTTATGGATTTATAATTAATACTATTTTTTTTAATTTTTAAAGTAAATAATATTTATGTACGGCAATTGTAACAAACTTTTCTTTTTTCCTTTATTTGAATACATCAAATTCAAATCTAATGTTGTATTTGTTAAGTTGGACAAACCAACTAGTCATTGATAATGGTAAATGGGCCTCATGATGGGCTTTTGTGATCCAATAGTCCTCCTCCGACCAATTGGGCTAACAGTATCAAATAGTAAGAATTTTATCTGGTAAGAGCGAGACAAAGACCAAGAGTCTTACCCGGTAAGTGAGGACAATAACTCTTACCATGGTAAACGTTTACCGGATAAGTGAACACAAATAGCTTTTACGTTCGACTAGTTGGTTTGTCCAACTTACTATTCTTACCATTCATATTTATTACCAACGATGAAAGATAGGAAGTTACTCGGTAAACGCTTACCATGGTAAGAGTCATTGTCCTCACTTACCATTACCGGGTAAGACTCTTAGTTCTTGTCTCGTTTTTATCAGGTAAGATTTTTGGTCCTTACCATATTCATCCGATAAGATAATGTGACTTGGTAAATGTTTATCCAGTAAATATTTGGTAAACAATCAGTGACATTTCTACGAACATTTTGCAAGTAATGCTTACCCTAACTTGATATGAATTTACATGAATGTTGCAATTTCCATTTATATCCCTAGTGATGATGACACGTATTGAAGACAAAAGAAAGAGAGTGTTTGCCTTTATCTTAGCATAGAAGCAAAGAAAAGTGAGTTATGTGTGTGTGAACACTCTCACTTTCACAATAATCTCTATGTTCAACTTCAACCCCTTCTTCTATATAGATTTTTTATGTTTAGGTCCCTCCACTATACAAGTATGTTAAAAGTAACCCTTTTGGTCTATAACTACATTCTTCTTCATCAGTAACCAACTAACCATAATTGATTAGATGTATTAAACAGTAATCAATTAAATTGAAAATAAAATAAACTGTTTAGTTTTATATAATATAAGAGATTCATTCAATCAAAATCCAAATTTTCATTCCAAGTTAAACTCGAAAAATGAAAATTCATTCCATTTTCTTTCTCCATGTTGAACCAAACAACCACTTAAAGCATCTCCAACAGTAAACATAAAAACTTGGTGAAAAGGTTAACCGTTTAGCAATTACTTGAAAAATAGCTTAACATCCAAAAGCTTAAGGAATGTCAAGTGTTTGAAGATTTATGTATGTGTATCAAGAATGAATTATAAATACAATTTTTTTAAAAAAGACTTGACCATTGAAGTAAGTATTCGAAGATGGTTTTAGTACAGTGAAAATCTGATGTGATAAATAGATCATGTATTTTAAATACTTGACCATTACAAATGCTCTTAGATTGGTTGTTGCATTAAATTTATAATTTTGTGTCCTCATTATTGATGTGTGAGATTGATAACCTATGTGTGTGTGTGTGTCATACATATATATATATATATATATATATATATATATAGATGAACGATCAATGCAAACCACCCAATTTGTATAAGCCGTGCAAACCACTTCAATCCGTCGATTTCATTGTTTAATCTTATGAAATTTTTTCATAAAATTATTTAATCTTGTGAAATTGTTTCATATAATATTTTTTTTATAAGATGGTTTCATATATGATGATGAAATTGTTTCCTATAATACTTAATGAAAATTTAATGAAACTGTTTCATGTATTTCTCTAAAATTAAAATAATAAAGATGATAGTATCCATGATTAACACTCTACACAATAAAAATGATTAATCAACCTCTCATAATTACAAAAAAATGAACAAAATAAAAAATTATGATTGATTGAATGAGGTTTGCACAATTTATATAAATTAAGTGGTTTGCATTTAATCGATTCTCTACCTACAATATACATATTAAAATTGAAAGTTAGAAGAGACATTTTACCAACCCAAAAACTTGTAGGGACCATAAATGTATTTACCACCAAAATGAAGGATTAGGGTCGCTTTCAAGAAAACGTCTTCGTCTTCTCGATCACCAAGTTTTCATCTCTCTTCCACCTCTACGCGTTTTTGTGTCACCATTTTGCTTAACTACACCTCTCATCTTCATCCACCTTTTCCTTTCTAATAATCAGTCTTATCCCCCAAAAAAGGCCCACTGAATACTTTGAATATTTCATCAAGTTTTCAATACAAACTTCCTAGAAATTTCCTCCATCTTCCTTTATATCCTTCACCTCTTCTTACCTCACTCCACACTTCACAAATCACTCAAACACTGCATCTGGGTTTCAATTAGTTTGGGGGAAAAGGAAAACTCAAATTTGTGATCTTTTTCATCTGGGTTTCAATTAGTTTCAAGTAGAAAACATAAGTTTATTATCTTTTTGATCTGGGTTTCAGTTTTTTGTGTGGAAAAACCTCGAGTTCAATCTTTTTTCCATTTGGGTATCAATAAAGTTTCAATCTTTAACCATGGAGAACAACAATCAGTCATCGTTCTGGCAGTTTAGCGACCAGCTTCGTGTTCAGAGCAATAATCTTTCAAATCTCTCTCTGAATGACTCCATCTGGAGCAGTTCCTATGTGTCCAAACGGCCGGAAAAAGATCGCCGGAATTTCGACATCCGTGTCGGCAGGGATGTCATCAACCCCAGCACCGGCAGCAACAACATTTCCGGCCCATCAAAATCAGACTTCAATGGGTTCAACTTTGATTGGAAGATCGGATCCTCTGGTGTCATCGGATCCACCAATCAGAACCCACTTGGCGATTTTGGGATCAATGGAGGGCTTAATAAAGGAATTTATTCAAAACCCAGTTTGAATCTTAACCAGAATTTCAATCAGAACAGTAACGGTAGAGTTGTGAATGGGAAAAGTGGAGGTGGAGATGATAAACAGTACAGTTATGGAAGTAAGCATGGGAAGAACAAAAAGAATCATGGTAACAACAACAACAACAACAACAACAACAACAACGTTAATAACAGCGATAAAGATGGTGGTAAGAACAGTGTGGATAAGAGGTTCAAGACTCTGCCACCATCGGAATCTTTGCCGAGAAATGAAACCGTCGGCGGCTACATTTTTGTCTGCAACAATGACACCATGCAAGAGAATCTCAAGAGACAGCTATTTGGTATGTTTCTTAATGCTTTTGTATGTCTAAAATTGATATTTGTCATATACAATTATACATACATAACACAAGAAGAATTTTGGTACTCCAAATTAATTTTATTATTATTATCGAAGACTTTTTATGTCGATACATCCATTTTTGATAATGATATGATTTTTCCGTGATAATAATTATAGCTTTTTATGTCGATACAAAATTTCTTATTATAGCTTTGGACTTTCGGTTTTTCTTAATAATGTACTTTCAAAATATTTTTTATTACGGTATCATATTTTCAAAAATTTATCTGTTATAGCATTGAGTAACCTTTTAAATTAAATTTATTCATTATACCAAGTTTTTTTGCCACCTCATCGTCCATGTAGGCTGTCCACGTATACAAATGTATTGATATGATATTTCTTATTACAGTATTGTATTTTCAAAAGATTACTTTATTATAACATCATTAATTTCTATTACAACATTGTACTTTTAATTTTAATATTTTTATCATTTAAACATTTTAAATTTAATCAAATATGTTTACTAAAAACTATAATATCCGGAAAGAAACCAAGAAACAACCTAGTAACAGTTCATCCGGAGGGTAAACACATATGCAAGCACTTTTTCCCGTATGTATATATACATAAAAATAAAGAAACAATTTTAATTACTTTTATACACGTTTAGATAGCCTCCAAATGAATGGTTATATTATTTTATTTTTTGGGTTTCCTCAAACCCCTCTCTCTCTGTCTCTCTTTTTATATATATATGAATGGTTGCTAATTAATCTTCGTGTTTCTGCAGGTTTACCACCACGTTATCGCGACTCAGTGAGGCAAATCACACCTGGTTTGCCCCTTTTCCTCTACAATTATTCCACCCACCAACTTCATGGAGTTTTTGAGGTATTCATAATGAATCATTCTTTAAACATAATTCATAATGAATCGTTCTTTCTTAAACATGATTCATGTATTTCTGAGTAACACCAAATTGTTGATTATTCAGGCTGCAAGCTTTGGGGGTACAAATATCGATCCATCTGCTTGGGAAGACATGAAAAACCAAGGCGAATCTCGGTTCCCGGCTCAGGTAATTAACCATCTTCAATTCTATTGATGACACATAATCTAAAACTGGGTGAAATCTGCTAACTTGTTGGTTAATTATGTTATAGGTGCGAGTGATGACAAGGAACGTTTATGAGCCATTAGAGGAGGATTCATTCAGGCCGATTCTTCACCATTACGATGGCCCTAAGTTCCGCCTTGAACTCAACATTCCAGAGGTAATTCAACTGATGATCTTGATCGTTTGCTACTATATATACATGCATATATGTGTGTGTGTGTGTTATATGTAAGTATACATCATGTGTTACAACTTTGAACACAGAAAACTAACAGTTAATATGCATGATTTTGGTTGCAGGCTATCTCACTTTTGGACATATTTGAAGAGAAGAAAAACTGAGTGGGTGAATCGATTCGCTTGGTGCCCCTCGAAAAACATACACAAAATGTTGCGTAGGAGATATTATAGGAGGAGGGTGTTCTTTTTCTGTTCATGACTCGGTTTTTGAAAAAAGAGGAGGGTAGAAGGATATATAGTTTTATACATACACACACACACATATATATATATATGTATCTATATATATATGTATGTATCTATATATGGGTGCTTATATTGAGCTGAAAACAAATTAAAGTGGAGGTTGGCTGCTTGAGTTACGTTGTAAATATGCTACACATGGAATAAACAAACTCTTGTTTAATTAGATTCTTGAAGTTATAAAAGACGAACAAAAAACCAGAGACAGAACTACCAATTACGAACTACGTCTTGATAGCTCAAAGAGGGCTCTTTTGATTAGTTTTCATTAATTCATAGATGGATGAAATCTTTTGCATGGATTAATCTGTCTATATAGATTGAAAAGATCTTTTCATACGTGAAAAAAACGTATTTTTAAATTCGAGATGTGGGTTTAGAAAAAAATTTGGTTTTCTGTAAAAAAAAATCTCCCTTACAACTTAATTAAATAAGTCACTTTTTATATCATTAAATTACTATAAAAAACAATCATGAATGACTGATCGAATAAACTTTGAAACCCATTAAGCTGTTAAAAAAAAAAAAATAAGTTGTATGGTTATAGAGATGGAGATTGGAATATAGAGTTATTTCTTAAAACAATTATATAAAATTTTAAAATAACTATATCGTCACAAAAGTATCTCTTATTATCTTGCTATTCTAAAAACCAAACCGAAACAAAAATACAACGGTAATTTAAGCCAAGAAACGATTCAAAATTTTATGAACAAATAGGACAATATACGAGTCCGTTTTCGTTACATTCTGGACATCTTTCCTTTTCTTTCTTATCGTCAACCACCACCTTACAACTACCTCCGCAATCCAAGCATGGCACGAACCTTGCACCACCGCACCCTTCACACGCTTGCCTCCCAACCACTTTCTCGATCCCAACTCGACTCAGTATCCTTCTGAGTCGACTCATCTCATTCAATCCCACAATCTCATCGACACCCCCTAGATATCTACCCTTTACGAACATCCGCGGGACACTCACCAACTCACCAAGTAGCTCTTTCAACTGAGTTCGGAACTCGCCGTGTAACGATATATCTCGTTCTTCGTAAACAAACCCATGGAGCTCCATAATGGCTCGGACTCGATTACAATCCTCATATGTCCTTCGGATCCCACCCAATGATGTGGTGTAGATGACCACTTTTTCCGACCCGCCCGGTGGGCAAATTTCCGGGTAATCCTCAAGTGGGTCCCTCTTAAAAAAAGGCGGCGGTTTACCTTCCCTTTCTCTCTCCAATCTATCGCGTAACAAAAACGGGTTTTCTTTCAATGGTATATACCCGTCCGTCACAGGAGGTTGAACCGACCCGGTATGTGTCCCGGATTTGGTACCCGGGTCGGTTCGTTTCAATCGGGACCCGAATTTGTTTAACTCGTTGAACGACTCAGTCTTTTTCAACCCGGATGCTGCTTTGTTTGCAGCCTTTGTGACGTTGTTTTCAAGTTCTTCAAGAGTGTGGAAAGAGAAGCTCTTACGTTTCACCTTCTTCGCCGGCTCCGGCGCCGGCTTTTCAGGCGGTGTAACCGCCGGATTTGGAGGAGGTTGGGGAGGTTTAGGTGAGTTTAAGGTGGGTTTCAGATCTTCCAACTCTTTGCTGACTTCATCCCATGATCGTGGAGCATCCTCGCCGGCGTCGAGCTTCTCGAGAATAGGAGATGGCAAGTGGGTTACGGGCTTTTCCGGAGGTGGTTTCTCATCTTCTTCTTGTTCCTCCGCCGCTAGCCACGGCTCTTTGATGGCGTTGATATCGAAGACGGCGAAACTGGTGGAGGCCGGACGGTAGACGTCGACTGTTCCGACCTCAACTTGTTTAGATGAGGCGCAACCCATGATTGAATCGATCGAGGGTTTCAGGAGGTGGGATTGATTGGAAAATGGATGAGGAGGAGATTACAAGGTAATAAGGAAGAAATTTTTATTTTTTGTGGTTTAGAAGGAATTAGGGTTTATCCATTCAGATGCATGGAAGAAGATGGAGAGTTGACGTTATTTGTGGTGTATTACGTGTGAGTGTTTGGGTCACGGTCCCCGGATCGGGTCACTTGGATTGTGGATCCGTAAGGTGATACGTGCTTCTTTATATGCCTTAAATATATTTTTCCAATTATGAAAATGAATTGCAATTATTTGCATTTTATTTGGTGGTTTGTATATTAATTATTTTATTTGTAGAGGTATTTAACATTAATTAATGATAATAAATCAAAGAAATCGTTGGTTTTATGTTAGATATTGAGGGGTTGTTTACCAAAAACTTATCCGATAAATGCTTACGGGTAAAATTCAACATTATTATTTACTTATCGGATAAAATTTTAGTCCACTAAAACGATACCATATGCAATAATTTACCCGATAAACTCTTACCGTGGTAAGATTCTTCGACATCACTTACCGGGTAAGACTTTTGTTCCTTCTCTCATTCTTACCCAGTAAGATTTTTTGTCCTTGTTATATTCATCCGATAAGATAATATGACTTGGTAAACACTTACCCGGGTAAGCGTTTGGTAAACGGCCCCTCAATAGCTATGCTATATTTTCTTTAAAGTATAGTATTAATAAAAGACAAAAAATTTCAAAAAAATTACGTTCAACTCCAATAGATACTATATTTAGTAATTCTAACATTTAACTGTATTATTATATTATTTCTCTACTAAACCTTCGTTTTCAATACCTTTTATTGATAAGAATATTAAAATAATTGAACCTAATGAAAATATTAATTAAAATAGTGGATTCAGAAATCTGAAATGTTCATTCAGACTTAGAAAATTTCCTAAGTCCCTAACTTAGGACCATAGAGTCAGAGATTTGGACTTAGCGCCTAGACTTATGGTTTCTAGTAATCTGAACTTTGAAATTTTCTAAGTCTGTAACTTTGAACTACAGTGTCAGAAATATGAACTTTGTGTATTCCTTGACTTAGGAAAATCTCCCTAGCCCTTAACTATAAACCATATAGTTAGAGATCCGGACTATGCATTCAGACTTGTGATTTCCAGACTTGGACCTGGGGCAGAGCTTGGTGGAACTCTGATTCAGTTGTAACTATTCTACAATCTTTTCCATTAACGATTATAACTGTTCGTAACTATCGGTCTCTCATATTAATACATAAAAAGTGATCTAATGAATATATATATATATATATATATATATATGTGTGTGTGTGTGTGTGTAGAAGATTTACTTTGCAAACTATGTTATTTGTACAAACCGTACAAACCTCATTCAACCAATCATAATTTTTCATTTTATTCATTTTTTTTTTTGTAATTATGAGAGTCTGATTAATCATTTTTATTGTGAAGGGTGTTAATCATATGTATTATCATCTTCATTATTTTAATTTTAGAGAAATACATGAAACAATTTCCTTAAGTATTAAATGAAACAATTTCATAACCATATATAAAACAACTTCATAAAAAAAGTATCATATAAAACAATTTCACAAGATTAAACAATTCATGAATTTTTTTTCATAAGATTAAACAACGAAATCGATGGATAGGGGTGGTTTGCATGATTTGTACAAATTGATTGGTTTGCATTTGATCTCTCATCTATATATGAATTGAAAATTCAAAGAGGCTCTACTAGTATGAAAATTCCCATAACATCATCTAATTGTTCATCTAAGTCCATGTATGAATTGAAATACAAAGAGGCTCTACTACTATTGGTCTTGTTAAACACAAGAGTCTTTAAGCTACGTAAACAAAAATAGCCTAAAGCGGAGTAAAAACATGAAAGAATCTCAATTTTATAACAAATCCGGATGCTATTCTCCACTAACCACAAGGATATAGAGACTCTATATTTCATCTTTGGTGCCATTGCTGGAGTGATGGGCACATGCTTCTCAGTGCTGATTCATATGGAATTAGTACGACCCGACGATCAAATTCTTGGTGGGAATCATCAACTTTATAATGTTTTAACAACGACTCACGTTTTTTAAGTATTCTACATGCACTCTTGCGTGAACCGGTACGTCCATTCTTACGTGAACCAGTTTATTTTTTTTCTTTAATTCCGGGTAAAACCTCCTTGAAGTATCAACTAATGGGGGAGGAGTGAGATTATACAACCCGCTCTTTCTTTTTTTTTTTTTCACAAATAGTAAATTCAGGATCTAATTCGAATATCATAAGGATTACCATATATAACACAAAATTTATCCGCCGATTCCTTCGAATCTAGCCTCCCGGTTTGTCATTTTACCTCGAGAAGTATAAAAAATTACAATCCCCATCCTGCCTAAAATTTGAAGAATTTGTTGATAGTTAGAATAGATTTATAGACCAGGTCGATTGATCCGTAATTTTTTGTTATATTCCAATATTTCTCATATTAGTTTCAAATTCCTACGGGGATTCTAAATAATGAAACCGACTGCAATGAGTACTAGGGTCACGAAACCATAGGTAAAGACTGTTTCTCCACAAACCTTAACTAAATTTCGATTAGGAGACACAATCGCAATGCGTATGAGTAAAAAAAACGCTTATTGTTAATGAAATGGGGTTCTTCTTCAATGGCTAAGCAAGGTAAGCACAACTGATCCCAATAAAAAAGGAACAATCTTCCTTATTCCCACAGTTGATTCCCGATAAGCAATCTCAACTCCACGGATAGCAGTAGCTTCATGGGCCACTTACGTCAACCGACTAAAGTGCTATATTGTGAAATGCAATGTTTCCCCTCTCTATTCCCAAGTAAATGGTGTGTCTCATGCATCAGTTTGTGGATACTGATCTCACATACTAATCCCTACAGGTACCTGTAGTAGGCCGGCCGCCCTACCTAAACCAATCATCATATCAGTCCCTAGGCCCCATTATATATATATATATATATATATATATATATATACACACACGAAATCGATGCCGTATTTCATGTACGAAAATTTCTGTCTTATCCTGGTACGATTTCGTGATAACCTAAAACATTAAATGATGGAAATGTAGTATTTGGAAAGTATTTTCCGATACACGAACTAGAAACTTGTCCATGTTTATAACCACAAACCCAAGATGGATCAAAGGCTTATAAACCTCGTATATTTTTTTCGGCTGAATTCTACCTTTTCAAGGTTTTTTTTAGTTTTTAGTTGATTTCGTGAGACTTTTTCTCCCTTTTAGAGACTTTTTTGGTTGATTTCGAGATACTTTATTGATTGATGTGACTTGTATTTTATAATATCCTTGAACTTGCAGTTTTCATACCCAAAAAAATTCTACTTACGAAAATCAGTTGAACGAGTGTAGAAGACCCTACTGATCTTCAAAGGTCCGCCCTCATTGGAGATGGGAAATCCTAGATTTTGTTATTTGGGTTGGCTTACGTTTGTAAGGAGTTCTTTTTAGCAAAGTTTAAGGTTTTGGGTGAAAAAAGAAACTTCCAACAATCCAAGGATGAAAACCATAATTATTAAAAAAACAAATAATTATGGTTTTTAATTAAACCATGACCCATGTGGGTGATGTTATTAATGAAGCATAAATGTCATTAATTATTTTGTCCTTTTCTAATCACTTATTCTCTATCTTGGATCATGATGCTCTTCCAACGGTCTTGTCCCTTAATTATACAACTAATTCAAATTTCAAATATATATATACATATATATATTCATCACCCCATTTCCAAGTTTCTGATATCAATGGGCAATTGTTCTTTCAAAGGTTTTGATCCATCTCTTGATCCCATTCGGGTCATCACATGTTCGGGTCAAGCATTAGAGTTTAACGGTCCGAAACTTGTCTCAGAAGTGATCAAGGACTTTCCGAAACACGGGATTTTCAAGAAAGATCAGTTGTCGTCACCGTTAGACCACCGGGAGCAACTCATTGGTGGCCAATTCTACCATCTCTTTCCTCTATTCCCCGAGGAAATAGAGAAAAGAGACCAAACCTTTGAAGAGAAGGCGTTGAGTGAATTGGGGGCGATTGAAGCGGAGCCGGTGAGAATGTCGACGAGTACGGTGGCGTTGCAACTTGTGACGAAGAATTTGACGGACGGGTCGGGTTTTGAAGTATTGCCGCCGCCAAGAAAGGGCGTGTGGAAGGTGAAACTAATGATCAATACAAAACAGTTGGAGGAGATATTGTCGGAGGAAGTGAACACGGAGGCGTTGATCGAGCAAATGCGAGTGGCGGCAGCTAGCTCGAGGAAGGCGGTGCCACGGCGGAACAAGCTTAAATGGGGAGTAAAATTGAAGCCAATTTTTTGCAATGTGTTGAATAAAATGGTGGTTGATGATAATTCTTCACCGAAGTCGGTCACTCCAATTTTGCAGTAACAGTATCAGTATCAGTAGCAGTAATAACTGTCAATTAAAATAGCAATATGGAATGGAACTTCTTATTCCAATTTTATGTTTTAGGTCTTTTTTTTTTTCCTTCTTTTAAACTCAAAATCTTGATGTTTACGAAGAGACTCGAAACTCACGATTTGAGCACATAGAAAGAACTAAGAAAATGATAAAAAAAAACAGGGATGAGAGAAAAGTTGTGCAAGCTAACTTTGCCAAGACAAACCTATGTTATCATTGTAGGGTTGGGTTCCGAGTGAGAAGCGTAAGAAGGGATCTTCATATTTGGATGCACATTAGGATGAGATGTACCGGACCAATCCTTGTATCAAGCGCAATTCATAAATTAGTTTGAGATTAAAGGTGATCAAGGGTTCAGATTCCTTTTTACGCTTCTCACTTTACTCTCTTTCTAACACGGGTCTTTCGCTAATCATTGTAATTTCAAAATATATACAATGACACCCAACAGTATAAAAACAATAGCATATTTCACGACCCTAATTTTTTTTACCTTATAAAAAAAAACAAAGTGGTGATCTATGCTACCGTATCTTACACACTAAGTCCGCCCCTGGCTAAAACAATATTGATTTTTACAGTAACATATTATTGTGATGACAAAATTTATAAATGTAATTATTGTTATGATGTTAATTCTTAGAATATGTTTGAATTTAAGAATCACCGGATTCGTAACGGGACTTTTTTTTAAATAACTAATCTTGTTCATAAAAATGGTTCAAATTCAAATATTTAACGTTATAAAATAAATCGATTATTAAGATAAATAATTATATTTTATATTTTTTTTATTAACATAGATATCTAATCCGCTATGCGAGCTGACTAATTTCAGGACGACCACTTGTTTTGCAGCTAGCCCAGAGTCACTGCATTTGAACCTCCGTGACTACAAGAAAATTTTTATTTCTCTTTGGATTTGAACCTGAAATCTCCTGATACTTTTGATCTTTGAAGTCAAGATCAAATCAATAAGGCATCACCCTTGTGGTTAATTATATTTTATATTAATAACAATACTAATAATAATAATAATTACTTGTTTAGCTAAAATAATATTTATTATATTTAAAATATGTTAAAAGCGATTGTATACTTTTGAAAACATACATTTTGGATTTTAGTTAGATTTGAATTTCGTGCACTCATTTAGAATCTTTAATTTGTAAGAATCTTTAACCTTTAATTTTTTGAAATGATATTGAATAAGTCTTATTTGTTTTATAAGATTTAAATGCCTGTTTGTTTTACCTTTGTGGGGTTGTTTATTTACCTCTTAATAGTTTCATTAAAAGACAACATATAAACCGTTAAGAGGTGAATCTTATTTAGCAAACAATAGTGTCTCTTATTGGTTCTAAAACTTTTCTGAATGATTATGTATCATGAACCTCCACTAACCATTCAGCGCCCATATTTCATTGTAAACAATTACTAAATAATTATATTTCATTTACACTATATAATGAGAGCCTCTTAATCATTCTGCACCAAACCATATTCATTTAGACATGGAGACGACTGAAAGATTAGGGCATATTCGATGAAAGAGTGAGGTCAGTGAAATCCATAGTATTTGGGTTTGAAACGAGGGTAATCTCTACATATGTTGGTTTGTGGGATCTCATTAAAATCTGGGATTAACAAATCCAAATTTTCCTTCAAAACCGAACTCAGGATTGAAAATTCAATTCCAAATACCTTCAAATCCCTACCAATTCCACAAACCAAACGGACCTTGTGGGTTCGACTTCAAACTGAATAGCAAGAAGTCGAGGCCAAATAAGCTTATTCCAAGTTTGAATTTAAGCATCATGGCAATCTCAGAGATCAAACCAAAACCAAAACCAAGCTATAATTTTGGTTAAGTTGAAGTCAAAAAATCATCTGACTGTTTGTTTCAAATCAGCAGGAGAAAGTTTGCATATACAACTGGCTATCAAACATCAGCTATTTCCAACAACATAGCATGCCATTCTACAAAAGGAACAAAATATAAGGGCACTCTATCTCAAAAGGTTTGTTTAACAAGACTAGAGAACCTTCTTCAAGTTAACATGATCAACACTTACTAGTAGTTCAATCTATCCTCCATTTTCTTGATGGCTTTCTCTATGGCAGGTACATTCTTGCTGAAGGTTGACCACTGTTCAACAGTCAAGCTGATACCTAAACACACAAACAATATGGGATCAGATTAACTATAAACAGAATGTGGCTAACAGAATATCTCATTTCACCATTGGCTGATGTCAAAGACAGATTAAAATTACTGATGTACTCATTATTAGACAAAGAATCGTGTGAGCATAGGAGTTAAGAAGCGTAAGAAAGGATCTGGATCCTTGATCACTTTTAATCTCACCCCCACCCTATGAATTGCGCTTATCACAGGAATTAATCCGGCGCATCTCGGTGCACCTTAATCTTCAGTTACGATTGATCCAAGGGTAGAGATCTCTTCTTACCTTTCTCACCACAACTTTCATTCTCACCGGAACTCAACCCCTCGTTATTATCATTGCAGATATGTAGATAATATTGATTTGAGCAAAAAATGTCATCTTTATCGAGTTCTATGGACCAGGCTAAATCAACAAGTGTAATCAAAAGACAAAAGTAATGCGTCTATAACTATATACATTAACCTGCTACGATAGTTCAAGTTCTAGAAGAGAAATGATGTAATACCTTAACTAGTATGTTTACTGCATGATTTCATCATCAAGGGTGCTGTACAGCCATGAAAATCTTGGAAAGCACAAAGCAACAATCTTGAGATTTGGGATATGACATGATTTCTATTTACCAAATCAAACACAACCTAATCCAGTTCTAATCTAATTATAAGACCAAATAGTGCATCTAAAGTTAAGAATATGAATCTTCCATGATAGTTAAGGTGCCCTAAATCTTTTACCATACCCCTTACAATGAACTTAAAAGAGGTAAACAGAAATCATCTCTTACCTATCGCTATGGTATATTGTCATTGTATAACACTAGCATTATCTGATTATCTCCATGAACTAGGGGGGTTATATTTACAAGCAACAAGCTTCAGATAAAAAAACACAGCCTTATGCAGAAATCAATCAGATTGACATATCTTAGAGCATTACCAACTAAACATACAAAATTCAAGATATTAATACCTTTAGAACTAGGAAGCTCTTTGCCATCTTTATTGTAGTACTCCCTTATAGACACCAAACCTTTTCCTCTGAATTCAGTAATAGTTACCCTTCTTTTATTTGACAGCTGCAACCACAAGTAATACAAATAGAGCAGTATTAGAAGTGTTCATATCATAGTTACAGCATTTCCCTCAATTTTCATGCTATAAAGACTTTAGAAGTTTCTCCAATACTGGCAAAACAGTATCTGATGCATAGATATAACCACTGTACTGGCTGTTTAAAGCCTTCATCACACAACGGTTGCAAGTATAAAGGAAAACCATACCATAAGCATGAATAAACAAAATTGACATTAAACCTCAGGAATTTTGCTCATAATAGGGGGGAAGTAGCTCGATTGCATTTTTTGCTCTTTTTCAAAACTAAATAACCAAATTGTGGAAAATTTCAGAAAAATAACAAATTCACATTTTAGGGTTTTATGTAACAGAAGTATAAATCAAATGAGCTGTTCTAAGTTTCACTTGATTCAAAGAAGAAATTGATGAACATAAACAGATAAATTTGAAGATATGATCAAAATATATCAACGCAAAGCATATTATGGATCATCAAAATTACCATCGTACAAAAACGTTAGGGTTTATGAAATCAGAGTAGGGATTTAACTTCAAACAGGTTAAAATAAAAACAAAAATCTAATGTTAACCAGAAAAAATTGACACGTAGTAATATTACATACATCTCAAGTCTTAACCCCAAATAAAAGACAAAATTCAAAATGCGGTGTATAAGAAACCAATTTAGGGTTTCAAACAGTAAGAATCAAATTTTACACAAACTTACTCGGCAAATGATAAGATCTCCATCGTCATCGTACTCCTTAGCCCCTTTCTTTCCCTTCTTCCTCTCATCTTCACTGTCTTCTTCCTCCTCCTCCTCTTCGCCTTCTTCGGCCGCCTTTTCATCAGCCTCTGCTTTAGACTGTTGTTCCTCAAGGTACGTCTGGACGACATTCCGGACGAGTTTCTTCCGTTCAGACTTGGATAAATCGACTCCGAGCTTCTCGGACGCTGATTTCCGAACTTGGAATTCCGTCGTAGAATCCATATCCGAATTCTTCAACACCTCCAGCACCGTTTCCTCTATCTTCTTTGCCAATTCGGGATCCATGATTGAATTTCAGGATTATTTTGGCTCTCTGAAACAAATTGAACCGATCAGACACTCGTCGTCTAGCACTATAATCTGGGAAAAATCTAGAAGATGCTTCGAAGAAAGTATTTGAAATCAGACATGAAATAAATCTTTTAGGTATTGGGCCTAAACTAATGCTTTAAATTTACGGAAATCGCCCAAAATACTCATGCCAGTTTTATATATTTACTTTAAAAATGTCATTAATAAAATCAGCATAAAAAAAGAAAGCTTTTGAATACAGGGGGTGTTTGGGATTGTTTATTTACAGTGTTCATTGACTTATTCCGATATGGTATCGGTGATAAGCAATTTTTAGTGTTTAGATGGGAAAAGAAAAATGATACTTGTACCTATGATAAGAAGTTTTCGGTAAGTTACTATCTTCTAACTTATCAGAAACAAGTTATTAGCTTTGAAAACCAAATTACATTTTTATCCTTTTCTTTCAACCCTTTGACTCACCCTCGTGAGATCGTCGACAACCTATGTCCTCAGGCTTCCCCATCGATCATATAGACTACTCAACATCAACACCACCACCGACGATCTATGAGATTATCGACATCTTCATGAGAGAAGTGAATCAATCTATGAGAGTAGTGAATCAACTTTAATTTCCGTTTTAGGGTTGGATTTGGAGGGTTCTGATCTAAGAGTTTTGATTCAGAAAATCGATTTGACTTACAGATTCTACCCCAATTACAAGACTTAGTGAGGAAGAAATCGATATTGGGAAGATCTTAATAATGGAAAGGGATTGAGATATGTTGTTGTGGGAGGATTCCGGCACCGTTGCTCTTCCTCATCGATGGCGTCAGGTGTTGTCTTCTTTCCGACATCGTTGCTATTTTGCTCCTTTCCTACCGTAACTCTTTGAAAGAATGTTCTTTTGATCATTTTACATGGATAATCAAACTTTGTCAAACACTAAAAATTAACTTATCAACTTATTACGTTTTGGTACCATTATAAGCTTATTCAAACAATTTCTATAAAATTTCAGTTTGACATCACATAAGTTGATAAACACTTTTAAGAAGAAAAAAAAACATAAGTTGTTTTGAGTAAACAATCCCAAACACCCCCATAGTTTGTAGTACATAGACCAAATCTATAAATTAGTTAAAGATTTGTAGCTCGCTGAGGAAGCATTGAGACTAAGGGGCTGTTTGTTTCCCTCTTAATGGTGACATTAAGAGGGAACCTCTTAATCGGTCAGAGGTGAGACATGTTTGGCAAAAAAATAAAAGCCTCTTAATGGTTCCTCAAAGCTCTTAACCATTTTGAGGTTGAATCCATGCTAAACCATTCAGTACATTTATTTTCCCTCTTTACCCTTCCACACCTACCAGCCCACTCTCTCCTTCTCTACCCTTCCACATCGCCCTTCCACAGGAAACGCTAGATCATCGTCTCCTTAAGGGAAAATCAGCCGGTGACCTCCATCTTCCACATCTCCATCGCCGGTGACATCCATCGCCCACACCTCTGTTTTCGGTGACGGTGACGCGCAGAAGCTTCTCGACGCTCCATCAGGTAATGTCTCCGGTCGTACAGGTCGTTTAGTCGCCGGTCGCTGGTCACCGGTCGCTAGTCGCCGGTCGCCGGTGACCTCTAATCAGATTATTTCTTTTCCCTATTTACATTTCTCGAAGCTATTATCACTTTTACATCAAGTATTTAGATCAACTATTTAGATGGTGACCTCTAATCAGATTGTTTATAGATCAGATTGTTTATAGATCTTCTGTTTAGATGGGGTTTATATGGGGTTTGAAGATTGCTTTTCTTATAGATCTTATAGATCTTGCTATCTTCTGTTTAGATGGGGTTTGAAGATTGCTATCAAAAAGAAAAGTGTTATGTTATTGTTTATTCATGAATTTGAAAAATTATGTTTGGTTGGACTAATATGAAATCTTGTTTCGAACTAATAATGTTACGTTTGTTTGGATTAATATGAAATATGTAGTTATTTTTGTAAAATTATTGTTTCATTCAGATATCAGCCAAACAACTTTATTTCATTCAGTACTAAATCATTCAGAGGGTTAAAATGGTAATTTTACTGTCATTCAGAGAACAGTTGCCAAACAACATTATTTCATTCAACACTTAACCATTCTGACCCTCTTAACCATTCTGACCTCTTAACTATTCTGCATAAATCATTCAGCAACTGCCAAACAGCCCCTAATTTATAGATTTGGTCTTTGTACTTGTGGACCATGTTTGATTTTTTTTTTTTACTTTTTGACTCGTCCGTAACTTAAAGGAGTTAAAGATTTATGGGCCACCTTATATTTCAAGTTTTCAACAATATATGATTTAGTAAAAATCTTTAATTAATAATTAAATATTTTAATTAAAGAGTTATTGACCATTAATAATAAATGAAGCATTTAACATATTATTTGAGCTCTAGTTTAATAATTTATGAGTTTCAATGGACCTCAAATACATGTTTAACTTAATGAATCGTAATATTAAGGTGTTGTTTGGTTCGTAAAATTCAAAGAAATTGTAATGATCAAATTTCAATTCATTTATTTGGTTCATATATTGAAATGGATGAAATCTTTTGAATTCCACAAATCAAAGAATTCATCATCCCTTGACATAATTAAAGAATTTCTATTCCATCTCATTGCATCCAATTTAACCAACACTGCACACTCCCTACCTCCACCACAACCATATTACTATTGTCGTTGTTACGCCCCTACCTCTTACCCCCACACCCTACCCCTATTGCCGCCATCACAGCAACCACCACCTGCACCCTACCCCACCCCTGTTTACCCATCCACACCCACACCGCCACCCGACCATCATGCCACCGCTATTGTTACACTACACCCAATTCTTTTGAGAGATTCCACTCTAATTTCTACCCGACCAAACGCATGGTCAAATTATTTTCAAATTCTTTCAAAGTCAAATTTCTTTAACAGACTCCAATTCCGCTCAATTCCATTATGTGAACCAAACACCCCTAATATTCAAGTTGATATGTTCAAAAACTCGATTAGAATTTTCAAATTGCGTATGTTCATATATTTGTAAACTATACAATTAAAATATAGAAACTTAAAGAAGTTGCTTAGTATCATTAGGTTTCGAACTCAAGCCAATAAACAAGGTCCTAGATTGTTTAGACTCATCTCGGAGCACACAAGTAACATTAGAGCATCTCTGACAGTTAGGTTACACTTTTTCTAAAATAGATTATCAAAAGTCAATCTCTAAAATACTGTCATGTCATTGTTATCTCAATAAAGTAAAAACCTTAATAAAACTCCATAGTAGAGATTCTTGTAAAAACCCCAAGAGGAAGAAGTTAAAACTCTATTATGAGCGTTTTAACTCTAACATCTACTTTATTTTAATAATTATAACATTAACTATATTATTAAAATATTTAATAAAATATTATTTATTTTTCTTAAAAACAACTTATCGACTTATTCGCACCAATAATAAAATCACTTTTGAGTGTTTGGATAAACAACTTATACCGATGCCAAATCAGTAATAAAGGGATTTTTGAAGAAGTTAAACGCTTCTAACGTATAATAAGTTGATAAGTGTTTTTGTAGAAAAACACAATTTGTTTCAAATAAGCAATCTCAAACAAGATGGAAGGAAAAGTATCATACTAATACTAGTTGGTAACATAAATCTTTGAAGTATTTGCAGAAATTGCAAACCATTGATCACATATACATATATATATATATATATATATATGCCCATGAACCCATTTTCATTTGGGAGTTTCTGTATGAACAATCAAGCTTCAATCTGCCATTAAAGAAGAATATAAATGCTCTCATCTCTTAAATTTCCTTGGCCCTTCTTTGTTGCTGCAAGAAATCAACAACCCAAGATTATAAAACAAATTTCACAAGGAATTGAAAGTTAATAATGGTAAATCCATGGCTACCTTGATTGAGTTTCAGCGGCAGCGGCGGCGGCGGCGGCGGCGGTGGTGGTGGTGGTGGTTGTTCTTGGGACAGTCCCAAAGCCAGCAACCTCATCCATGCTCTGGCCTTGACGGCGGTAGCGACCACCAGTGGCGACGAAATCAGGACAAGGACGATAAGCTTTTATTGGCCACCAACCAAAGCCTGGTACGGTTGCAATTCCACCTTGAATCCTCCCCTCACCATTACATCCTCTCTCGATCTCTGGTTTCCCACATGCTTTACAACCCCTACAAACACAACAATCATGTAATTCATAATCTGTTATGATTATCAGATGAGAAAAATAGAAATACCGACCCGAAAGGGATTGATTTAGATTGGGTGGTGGTATCTTCTTCTTCGTCATCTTCGACGGTGGTGGAAGTTGAGGAGGTGGAAGCTCGGAGGAGGGTTAGTGGAAGTTTTGTAGAGGAGAAGGTTTTGGAGGCAAAAGAGGAATTATGTTGGATGGAAATTGGGGCGGAGAAGAGGGCGGTGGCTGCCATTTCCGGTGGCCGTGGAAATTGGGGGTTGAGGCAAAGGGGGGAGAAACTGTATCTGGATGTGCGGATGAGAAGAAGCGATTTGATTTTCCTTTTCCTTTTTTTATATTGTTTAATGGAGTCCCTAATACCTTTATCAATTTATACGGTGATAAATTGGAGTTTTATAAAAAGTGTTTGAATTGGCTTATGGTGGTATCATACCAGATAAGTTGATAAAATAGATGAGATACCATTTTCTTTTGTCATCCAAACACTAAAAACTTTTTATTACCGATATTATACGAGAATAAATTAGAAGGAAGTAACTTATTAGAAACTTCTTATTACCGGTGCCAAACCGGTATAAGCATTTCTTTTTTTCTCCATCCAAACACTAAAAACTTCTTATTACTATTAACACACCCAAAAAAGTTAATAAGCACTTTAAATAAGCAATCTCAAACACCCCCATAGTATCTCAATTATCATTACAAAAAGTTCATGTAATATTTTGCATCGGTTAGGGAGGGGAACCAAGGTTGTCTTATAAGAGATTCGATACCTCATTTATTAAACGCATTTTAAAACTATGAGTTCAGATGTGTTGACAAAATCAACAATATCTGATACGGTTGACTTGAGATGTTACAGTTCATTAGGGAATCTCCAACAGTTTCTCCAAAATAGAGAAAATGTGGATTTTGAACAATTTTTTTCCAACAGATTTCCAGAACTTTCTTTAAAATGCAGAAAGTAGGAAAGGGGTGTAAAAATCTCCAAATTTCCCCAAAAATGATTATTCTCTCATGATTATCACAAGAATGCCGATTATAATATATTGGTTCTGATTAGGATTAACTTACAACTCGATTGGACGATTTGGGTGTTATAATCATGTGATAATCCAATGACGAATCGAGTAGCAAACGATTTTCACATGATACAATTTGTATTTGGGGTTCGACTACAAGCTATTCGATTCGATTAGGTTTCACAATCACATGATTATTACATCCCAATCGTGTACAAATTATCAAACGATTATCACCTAACACGACTGCAATTTGTTCTGTATCTCAACCCTGTCGATTATCACACGATTATACCCAATTACGACTGCGCACATTGTTTTGGTTCATTAGGTTCATGTATCATATGATTATCACACTATTATCATACTCAATGAGTACAAAATGACTGTGATGGAAAATTTGGTGGTTGTATCAATCTTCCTAATCGATTATCAACTGTTATCACACGATTATCACACTTTTGTAGTTTATGTTGAGAATTCAGGTTTATCATCTTCCGCATTTTGAACAATTTCATGCTTATTTGTTTCTGCTTACTTTGGTTTCGACTTAATTTTGTGGGGTTAATGGTTTGGCAAATCTTATATATATATATATATATATATATATATATATATATATA